CTCCACCGAGCGCCAGCCCCGGGCAGGCAGCCGTTGGGCTCGCAGGGCTGCGGGGAACTGGCGCGGGGACCGTCGCTGGTGCTTGGTTCCCTCACACCAGGCGGAAGCCAGCGCTGCGGGCAGAAAGGGAAATCTGCCCCTATGGAAACACCCCCATAACCCACAGCATCGCAAAGCACCTCACCTGCTCTCCCGGGGGTGCTGAAGCCAGAGGAAGTATGCCCGGTTAATCCTCTAGCATGTGACCCGTTTCAATGGCACCTGCCAGGCGAGACGGTGAGACAAAATGGATTGGTACAGCTCGGTTTTGAAATAAATCAACCAGGAAGCGATGCATGCACCACTCCTCAGGATCTCCAGATTTTTTCACTAGATTCGTAGGTATACGCACAGGATATAAGAGAAGAGGTTCAGGTAGTGTGTGAGGTGTTTTTTTCTTCTTTGTAGTCAGGAAAATGTCTCATAGGTTTCTCTCAGAGTGGGATATAAGTAATAAAAATCTGATGTCTGGATTAATAGCAGGGAAGAGGAAGAGCTGTGCCACACAAATTGGTTTGCAATCCAAGTTGGGAGGGACGAATCACATTAAAAAAAATTAAAGTTCATTTCCAACTACAACAAAAGGGAATCTTCTGTGTTACACACTGGGTATTTCAAAGGAACATCCCAGCCAAAAACGTCTTAACTATTCATCAGAGGCAAGAGATTGCTCAGAAATAGCCAGAAAATAAATTCCTTTCTTGATATTTATTTACTTTTTTAAAGCCAAACCAGTTGAAGTTGGTGTGGGAAGGACTGCCATACCTTCCATGAACCTGTGCAGATTCAAGACTGAAGGAAGGACTAATATCTGTGTGCTGCTGGTTTAGAAGAAAACCTATACTTCATAAAAAACATCTTTCCTGCTCAGTGGTGTTGGGGGGGAACCACTCTGTACTGCACTAGCTTACACCACAGGCAGGAAAGGTCACAGAAGTGTCCTGGGTAATAATGCACAAGCTCAGCACAAGCAGATTAGTTCTCCCTGTGGCAGAGATTTTGTGTTGATCTCACTGTTAATAGAGCATGTTGTTACCTAGCACCAGAGCGGGTTGGTGGACAGGCAGGCTAGAGCTACACACCTCCCTATAAACTTTGCTCCAACTGAGCAGATGCTCTTGGACATCCCATTTCAGTGCTGACTTTGAGGAGTGTCTGAATTTGAGTCCCACTTACAGTCAAGAACCTATGTAACCAGCCTTTTTAGCTGTGAGGATGATTTACTCGTTTTCCACGTGAAACCTCTCCTGACAAATCAAAGCAACCAGCAGGAGGTGCAGAGGGTCTTAGAGTCACTTCAGTGGAGTATTCATTTTCAGGCTGCCTGCCTCTTGTCTGGCGTTATTCCTTTAACTAATGATCTTTCTGTTTAAAATAGAAAACCTGAAGCCCGGGTGCTTGTTCCCCAGTAACAAAATCTTCAGCTTGTTTTCTTTCTAGAATAACGTAAGAAGATGGGCATGGAGACCCTGTGTTTTGCAGCAGAGAATCCCTCTCACTTCTGCTACAGCTTTACTTGTTGTTATTTATAATTTAGTTGTTTTACATTTTCCCCAGAGTGGCCTATTTCTTGTCTTTTCTCTCCTTCACTTTCTGAAGGCATCCAACTATAGAAAAACTGGCTTAAGTACAGCCCAGAGGAAGAAAAGTGGCTTGAAACCTGAACTTACAGAAGAGCAAAAGCAGGAGATCAGAGAAGCTTTCGATTTGTTTGATACTGATGGATCTGGAAGCATCGACATAAAAGAACTGAAGGTTTTCAAACTTTTTTTTTCTTGGATGGAAATATCTTTGGCCTCAAAATTCTAACTGCATTTTCTGTTTGTCCAGCCCTAACTATTTTAAAATTGTTTTACAGTACAAAAAAGAATAATGACTTGCTCTCATGACTGAATTTGGGGTGTACTACCTGGTTAACCTGACTAAGCTACTGCAGAGCAGACAGGCCTCTCTAATACATAGACAGTAGGTCAGATAGCTTTGAATATCTGAGCATTAGAGGAACTAAGCAGTTCCTCTGTTTAGGTACGCAGTTCACATTCCATTTTTCATGACTGGCCAAGATAATTGTTTCTGGGAAGTGAACTTCTGTTTTGGAATGAATGTTAGAATATCATATTTTTTGCTCATCTCAGAGCTAAACACAGGTTTTACACAAATTCAGGAAAGATACAACCATATTTTCATACACTTGATCCAGAAGTTACCTGGTTTTTAATTTAAAAAAGAACAAAACAGATTTGAATGCATTTCTGTACCAAGTCAGGTAGTGTGTGTGCGCAAGCGCCTATCAATACACACAGCAGTACAAGGAAAAGATTGTTCTCAGTTCTCTCCCTGTTTTACAGGTGTCTGATTTTTTTAAGCCTGAAACTTTTATCTTAATTATCTCATTGACCTTGATTTCTCACATACACACACTCTGCCTCAATTTCTGCGTATGTTGCCTAAAAGCATGAGTTACCTAAGCCTGTGGCTTATCTCAGAATTTATTTGGCAGTACTTAGGCTTTGTTAAGGAGAGCATGTCCTCTGAACACTGAATATATATGTTAAGATATAGTTCTTAAAATGGACTGAAACATTTTAGCATCAACCATTTAGCACTATGTTTTTCTTTTTCAAAATTAATTACAAATACGGATATTTTACCATAGAAAATGTTCCCCTCTGAGAGACAAAACAGAACATTTTCAATTGTCCCACTGCAAGAAAAAATGGTCAGAAAACACACTTCAGTTATATGTGAAGTTTCTGGTAAGTTGTCATCTTCCAGTAGAAAAGTGTTCAGCAAGAAAATTTCTGCCTGATACTAACTACTGATTTCCACTAGAGCGTATAGGAAGAATGAATGTTCACAATTCAGATCTTCCCCTTCTTACATGCTCTTGAAACTTCAGTCTCAGAATTAAATATGCTGTAATCATCTGGCACACCAGGATTGTCAAATTACTAGTAAACACCCAAGCAGCAAAGTCATTATTCTAGGCTGGTGAAACGCTAGAGCCCGGTTTTAAACAATGTTAACATCAAGCATTTGTACAACAATCCGCACAAGAACTGCTTTTACAAAGTAATACTTCGCTTGTGCTCTGTAAGGCTCAGGAGGTTTGATTTGCTTTTCCTCAACTATCACAGCAGTCAGTCTTTTGATTTGCTGAGGTTGAGACTTGGGGAACATTGCCAGTTGCCTGCCCCCTCCCGGTGCCCCCTCCCTGTCGCTTTTCCCCACATTATCACCAAAAGCTATGCATATGGATTTCTTCTATCTCTGGGTACTGGATTGTTTAAGTTAACTGCATGTAATTCTGCACCCATCAAAATTAATGGGCATTCTTCCCTAAATTTCAAATGGAGTGAGATCACATCCCTGGTCTCCAACCTCCCTTCAAGTCTTTGATAATCCAGTCCCTTTAGGAACCACATTGAAAATAAATCTGTAGTTCAGAAATGTGGATTGGAACCTACACCTAATTCAGATACAAAAAGTTTTTCTTACTTTCTAAAATATACCCATGTTCCACATGGATCTAAAGAGAAAATATGAGTGAGTGTTAAGAATATCACACCTACACTAGTAGTATTTGGAAAGCTGAAACAGGTAAGAGAGATCAAGATGTTTTCATTGCAGTGAGTTGTTATTACAGTTTGGATGAGGAAGTTAAACAAGCTTTAGTGCAGCTGCTGTCACGATAATTCTGGTAGCCTCCTAATCAAATTGTTTTTTGGCACAGGTTGCAATGCGTGCTTTAGGCTTTGAGCCAAAGAAGGAAGAAATTAAGAAAATGATTGCAGATATTGACAAAGAAGGAAGCGGCACCATTGATTTTGAAGACTTTTTGGCTATGATGACACAAAAAATGGTAGGAATTCTTAACAGAAATTCATATGACAGCATAAAAAAAACCTAAAAAGAAGTAGCTCTGTGGTGGGTATTTTATAATTAATGTATGTTTTACTCTTGTTTTAGAGTGAAAAGGATTCAAAAGAAGAAATCTTGAAAGCTTTCAGATTATTTGATGATGATGGGACAGGAAAAATTTCATTCAAAAACTTGAAAAGGGTTGCCAAAGAGCTGGGAGAAAATTTAACAGATGAAGAACTTCAGGTAAATTCTGATTTGCCAGAGCTTTCTGAACAAGCACAGACCAGTCCTTTAGCTCTTGAGGATTGGCTGGAAATTTATGCCCATACAAAAAGGGCTGAGAGTTCAGAAATATGAAGAACAATCAAATACATAGTTATATTTTCACATGATATGCTTCTGATAATGTTTTTGATAATGCAGGATCTTGTGTTTAGAGTCCAGTGCCTGAACAAATATATAATGTATTTTGTAGGAAATGATTGATGAAGCTGATCGAGATGGAGATGGAGAAGTAAGTGAGCAAGAATTTTTGAGAATCATGAAGAAAACTAGCTTATATTAATATTCATTGCCTTGCTATAGCACCGCTCCAAAAGATAACCTGGAAAAGTCTTAAAAAGTGGCCTTGTGTCTCCTGCATATTTTCTGCCATATAAAGAAAATCTGAAAGGACGTATTTTTGTGTCATTCTTCTTTTTCAAAGTTAATTGAGGAAGGGGGGCTTCAGTACCTACAACTGTTAAAATGAGATATTGCAGCAGTGAAAAGGAAGGATGAACTGAACCTGCAAGCTAGGGTTTCAACAATTTCATTGATTGCCACTCTGGATAAAGAATGCTGTGTTTCAGTTATTTAATTGAAAGACATTTCACTTAATATGTGAAGATTCCCACTGCTTCTGGGAAAGGGCAGTTTTGACTTTCCCAAGGATACAGATTGAAGATACAAGCACAGTATTTTTTTTTTTCCTTTTAAGGCTTTTGGTTATCTTTTGGTATTTGTCTCCTTTACTTCCACGAAAGACTCTAAAACCAATTGTATATCTGTGTTTACTTCTGTATAAAACTGTTTTGCCATGGCAAATTGATTTTGGACCTAATGGTAAGCAAATGTAGATAACCAGATCTGGTTCTTCATTTGAAGCTGTGTGCCATCAGTAGATGTTCTTTTGTTATCTGATCATCCGAAACCTGGTTTACTTGAATGTAACCTGCTTGGATTACCACGGTTTATTGTATAACTAGTCAACATCTTGTGTCGTTGTTACTCCCAAGACATTACAGAGCTGCTGTTACGCCAGGATTTCAGGCACCTAAATACTTCAGTTCTGTGGCACAGCAGGGTAAATTCTGTCTTTGGCTACTTACACTCAAGTTGTAGGGAGGACTTGCATCTGAAGTGAAAAAATAGCTCACTTCGGAAATCTGTGAAATGCTGAAAATATTTAGATCCATGCAATCTAAATTCATTTCAGACATCACAGGTTTGGGGTTTTTTTTAGGTGTACCTTCATTTTCTTGAATATTTCTTGCATATACTGTCAATCTGAGATTTACTGGAGAGCCACATTTCCTTCTGTATTATGGTGACACAGCAGCGACATACAACATAACATCCACTTATGTGGTTCTGTGGGAGGGTTTATCTTTGGTCCTGATTAGACAATTGGCTTCAAAACTGCAGGGAAATTGAATAATCCTAAATCATGTCTCTCTCAAATAAGACACCTGAAGGAGAGTTTGTTACAGCTCATAGCGAGGGGCAAGTAGGTAGCAAAATATCAGAAGCGTTCAGTGGGAAGAGGAAGGAAAAAAAAACAGTATTTTCACTAGTATCTGTTAAGATCCCTCTTTTCTTCAGGCAGCTTCTGCTGCTTAACAGCACTACCAAAGCTTGTAGAAGAAAGGAAGAGCCGGGATTAGCTCCTTATTAGAGCTGCTTCAGCTCTCACGGGCTGTAAGGGCCCAGGAGGGGGACAATCAGTTTCCTTAGCCAAAAGGAGAAGTGTTCATTTACCTAACAACTTCTTGGCACGCAGATGTGGCCCTGGCACATTCTGCCCCAGTCCTCTGGGTTCTGTACTCTGAACAACACTCTCTAAATAGAGCCCTGTAACGTGTTCTCCCACAGGCTTAAACCTGTGGGAGAACAGGGATTGTCTAGGACCCTGGAAAACTCAGACACCCGTGAAGTGGCAGTAAATGTAACCTATAGTACTATAAGTGTTTTAAAATGTCTATTAACTTTGTACAAGTGTGAAATAAAACTGTTTTGCAAGGTAAGGACTTTGTCTGCTTTATAACTTGGTGTGCTTACTATGCAAACTAAATTTGCAAAAATAATTTTAAAGTGCTAAATGGTTCACCAAATACATCTTTTCTTTCTAAGAGAAATTATTAGGTGCAGTAGTCTATCACACAATTCCTCTCCCTCTTCCACTACGCTGATTAAAAGTTTCTAGTACTAAGCACTTATATTCAGAAAGGGAAATTTGAAGTTCTAGTTGATTATGGGGAATCCCAGAGCCTATTAGAGTGACTGTACTTTTTTTAATGCTGCCACAGGAAGAGATAGATGACTATTGTTTACCTATGATGCATGCCACTTGTCTCTTCCTGTTCTAATCCCATTACTTGACTTCTTAAGACAGGAAAAAGACACACAATCATACCTACCATCTATACTACAATGACAAAATGTTATTTCTGGCTTTCCCATTAATCTCTTAAGTCTGGAATGTTGGGCAGTGGCTGTATTAGCACAGAACTTGCAAGTATTAACGTAATAGAAAAAGCATCTCATGCTGCTTTAGTTCGCGTGATAGGGAGGGATATCTTGCCCCCTCTAGCCACATGCACGGAGTACAACAACTAACAGCAGTATCACAGTATCCACAGCAGCGCTGTGGTTCCGCACAAATTATTTTCAGTATCCTTGTGAATCCTTCCTGACTCTTCTGGAATTTTATCTTTTCCATTTCTATACGTGGTGGAGTAAAAGGAGCCTGCTCTAAGCCAAAGGGAGAACTCAAGAGTTAGGTTTGTGGGAGGACCAGGTGCTGAACTGTCCATTTAGGAATTTAATCCTTTTACTGTGCTGGAGACAGTGACTTGGATCAATGAATGACCACAAAGAAAATTCTACAGTACCATACTACTTAAATCCATTCCATCCTCTGGCTGATACCTTTGGCAATCTTTGCAAGCCTGTCAGCATGATGTATTGCCTTTAGTTGGTGTAATTTTTTGCAGTGATCCATTCTCCCAAAATATCAATGTTAAAGCCACATCAGGACCACTGAGACAGCATCCAGGTATCATTGCCAGTGGCCCTCCTGCTCACTCAGAACTTATTCTCCTTGCTACAATTTGTTTGAAAATTATTTTTGTTTTCTTACACAGATAAAAACAAATGAAGATGAGAAAATACTGCTCCTTAGATGCTTCAAAACACAAGCTTCATTTCAAAACCTAGTTATATGAGCTAACAGAAACTAGCCACAGCTGTTTGACGCATTTTACAAAAATCAGGCAGGGAGGGTAAATCATCAGATTGTTAGGGATGTTTGTCAGACATCCTTCAAAGCCAGTGACCAGGCAGGCACAACCTGCATGCCTCCTGGAGTAAGGCAGCGAACAAACTGCCCTGTCTATAGGCTGGGATGATCCTTGACACTTAAGCAAAGAATCCCTATGAGGATCATTGTTAAAAGATAGCTTCCTTTTTGTCACATATATCAATCTAAGCGGCATAGCTGTGAGTGGACAGTCACACCCAACATCAATACCATATGCCAGTGCCCGGAGTGATGGGGCACACGCTTGTAGGAATCGCTCCTGTAACAAGAAGGCCATGACTGCCCCTTCGCTACAGCCTGAAGTTACTGTGAAAGGCTCTGCTGAGCAGGCACAAAACTCTGCTTTCAGTGAGCACTACATGCTCTGCTTAACTCGAGGATGCACTCCTAAATTGTTACATTAAGGAAAGATGTAAAAGTCTTCTCTGTCTTATAAGGGAATAAAGAACAGAGATCTGAGAGTGTGACAGTCTCGCTAGAGGGCATTCAGTTACTAACGTGCAAGATGAGTGATGCTTATTTCCCTCCTCTGTGGCTTTTAATGACGACCGAAAGTAGGCTAACAAACACCAGCCAGCCAGGGCTTGAAATATGCGGTTGGACACAATTATTTTTTTCTCAAAGAGGAACACAAGGCTTCTCACACAACTCAAGTGCAAAATACTGTAATTATTAGTTGGTTGTTAAAAGCTAAACCCCCAAACCACACTTTCTGAAACTCCCACTCTGTATCAATAATTACAGACACACTCTCAGGGGAGCAGAAAACTGAATCTGCTTTTCACCCAGTCCCCCTGAGTGCTCTGACCACTTCTCTGTAGAGTTATTTTTCTCTCTTTGGGAATATTGCTATCAAATGGAACCACTGGAAGCAGAGAGACAGAGACAGACCTGCTGCAGCATGCTTTGTGGCCCTCCCTTGGGATGTGGGAAAGCTGAAATCACGGCCTTGCTTCGTGTCAAGAGGAACAAGGATTTGAGAATTAGACCCTTGTCCCCAAGGTGAGTGTGCTGACCTTTAGGACACCGGGATGCACCTTATTCCAATGGCCTTGTGGGGTGGAGTGTGACAAAGAAATATGTTTTCGGGAAGCTGCCTGGCCAAAGCAAGCATGATAGATGGACACCTGCCTTCAACTTAAAGGTAGCTCAGAGTATCAAGAGCTTGACAGCTCACACTTACTGCTGAGAAAATACAGGAGGCCCATGAGGAAGAGATGTGGAGGTTGGGTAGAGCAAGACAGAGGACCTGCAAAGTTTGATGCTTCACTACCCAATGTATATGTGCCCCATTCCTTAAGCGGTGCAAAGAGAATGAGGGTTTTAAAGTGATGATCCAAACCTCTGCTGAGTTGGGAGCCCAGCAGAGCTGGTGCACAAAAAACCTGCTCCCACCAGAACCATCCATGAGCCGTTCAGACTTCATCCTGAATGGTACAGAGGGGGTGCCTACCTTTAAGAGCCTCAGCCCTTTTTTCACTTTTGCTCCTCGATGATTTCAGGGGTCCACTGAAGGGGAGTTGGGGACCTAGAACTGTAGCTCTTGACCTCTCTGGGGTTCTGGCTCCCGCTAATTACTAAACTTGAAATTGTTCAAGTCATTTTTTGTTTGTCTGGATTAGATTTGACATTGCAAATAAGAACAAATCAAACTTGTCAAACCTGAGCTGCAAATGTGCAAGATTCCGAGCACAGCCCTAACAGTTTCACATGCATTTATTTTCCCCCCATGCTGGATGCATGTGCATGCACACACATACTGTATATGGACATGCAGTCTTGTCACTATTAGAGTTTCACATTCTTTTGACATGCAAATGTACATTTAGAAGCTTCACTTGGAAGGAGGATGGGTTTGCTGTAACATTTTAGTCCCAAATAGAACAGGATCTGTGTACTGTAGAGTCACCATGGAGCAGAAGTCTAGCGCTTCTTTCCCTGGAGTGAAAATCCCAGTGGGCTGTGACCAAGAACAAAGTCAAGGG